CCCCTTTTAGCAAGAGAGTCAGCCAACACATTGGCATCCCTATAAACATGAACAAAAGATAAGGAAAAGGAAGAGGAGAGGTCCAAAATCTAAAGCAGCAGAGATTTAAACTCCCAAGGCAGCTTCTGTTCCCCTTTACATCACTTAATGACATTGAGGGAATCCCCTTCAAGGTTGCAGGAACACCCCAATTCCTTTCTACAAGGATGTGCAAGCCGTAGAAAAGAGCAAACGGTTTTGCAAAATTAGCTGTATGTACCCCAAGTGGACCTGCATAAGTAAAGACAACATTCCCCATCCAATCCCTAAGCACACCTCGAAACCAGCTGGACCCGGGTTCCCTGTCGAACTGCTGTCAAAATTAAGCTTATAGACCCCACGGGGTGGAGCCACCCATCTTCCTTTAGGTCTGCATTTTAGGAAATCCATATGGAACAGATTATTTAAATTTCTTCTAACATCCACTTCCGAAATGTCCTGACCAACATTGGTAACTGAAAGTTATAGCCAGATTGAATGCAATACCCTCTCCAAGATTTTCTCAAAAGGCATACTTTGCCCATAAAAACCTCTCATGTTTCTCTCTTTCCAGATTTCCTATAGAATGACGCCTCTAGTAATTTGCCAAAATGACAACCCAATCCGTAGTAAATCAACTGTCAAATTTTGTAAAATCGCAACAACTGAATTACAAATGCAATCCCAAGATGGGCAAGAACCAACTACAAATGTGAAGAGGAAAAGGATAATGAAAAAAGAGATGGTCACAGATTCTCCATCCTCCTTATACATGAGACAAATATTAGGCAAAATTTTCCCTCTCTTGATAAGATTATATATCATTAGCACCTTATTTTGAACCGCCAGCCATAAGAAGCCTTGCAATTTGAGAGGTAGAGGTCATTTCTAGATAATGGCTATTTCAAGCACAGACCATCTCCATCTATCATGGAAAAGCAAAATATACATAGACTTCATCGAGTAAACTCCATTTTTATCAATCTCCCATACCACCTCATCATCAACATTATGAGGGATATAGACCTCCTCCAATAACCTTAGTAGACCAGAGAGTTGAGAGAAAAGAGACTCAAGGATTATGTTATAAGTAAGATTGACATTCCACACAATTTGGCCACCCCTTCGAACGTAACATTCTGAGACAGTAGCATTGGGGCTGGCCATCCTTTGGAAGACCATAGGAAAGAGTAGTTTCAGTGAAAAATCTCCCACCCATTTGTAGTGCCAAAATGAAATATTACTGCCACTACCCAACAACTAGCGAATATCTCTATGAATAAAACTTTTGCAAGAATGAATTGACTTCCAACATACAAACATACCCCTAACTCCACTTTTGCCCCCCACCCACATACCAAAACTATCTGACCCATACTTCGAGGCAATGACTTTGTCCCAAAGATGGTCTTTAAGATTTAGACTCCTCCACCACCACTTACAGAGCAAGGCTTGGTTAATAGTTTTGATTTTCCTAATACATAGCCCCCCTTCCATTTTGGGCATGCCCACTCTATCCCATTTAAGAAGATAGAACTTTCTTGTCTCCACCGAGGACCCTCAAAGAAAATTCCTCATCATCATTTCAATTTTTTTGGCCACCGAGGAGGGGATCTGTAAAATTGAAATTTGATAAACAGGTAAGTTTGATAGGCAAGTCTTAATTAGCGTAATTTTACCCCCAAATGATAGATATTTAAACTTCCACATATCAAGTTTAACTTGGATAGGCTAAAAAATTTTAATGTAAAATTGAGAAAATAAAACTAGAAAAAAATAAAAATAAAAGGTTGAGTGAATATACACTCTCTTAAGATCTGCAAGGAAATTCATCCCAAGGTTGAGAGAATATACCATCTCTCAAGGTCTGCAAGGGAATCCACCCCAAAAATCTCTTTACGAGACCAACTTTTATTAACTCATCCACCTCTTTGTTTATATTGAAGGGAAACGTCCCCTTAAATAGACTAAAACTTAATAAAGAATATAGACAATGGACTTTCTTATTTTATCTCTTCTTCCCTACTTTTTCTCTCTTAAAATCACTTGCAAAATTTTTCCTATCTTCTTTCTTTAACCATCACGTAGCAAAAAAGATAAGATTTTCCACATTTTATCCAAAGCCATGCTTCCCACTTTTTTATCTAAAACATTCATAATAAAACTCCCCTTGCATTTAATTAACTCCCATAATTTAACCTTATCTATTTACCTTCCTAAACTAACCTAACTGATACAAGATAAACATAATATAAACTCTTACCCACCCTAATTACCCCTAATTATCCATGCGTACATGCCCACATCTGAAGAGATAAATAAAAATAAATAAAAAATTAAAGTAACCCTAATATTATTTGCGTCATTCTCCCCTGATTGGGAGAAACTCGACCTTGAGCTCGAAAGTTGGTGATGAAGTCCCTCGATACGTTTTCTTCAATTTCTTCAAGACTGATGCTTGCAACTGTGTTTCAAGAGTAATTGTTAAATATGAAAAGTTGATGATAAAGTCCCACCATGAGCCTCGGTACGTTTTCTTTAATTTCTTCAAGACTGATGCTTGCAACTGTGTTCCAAGAGTAATTGTTAAATACGAGCTTGTGCAGATTATTCCTAACCCAAAATGAGTCTAGCTCCAAAAAAAACACCAAGTTCAACCGATGAACACGCTTGACTATAAAATTTTGGGAGATGGATTTTAATTTCAAAATCTCGTGGTCGTTCTATAGGACGTGGTGGATATGGCTTCTTTATAGAGCACGACGGATCTAGCTTGTTAATTTCTTCTTCACGAGGAAGATTGTTCTCCAACCGCTGCATTTCTTCTTCACGAGGAAGATTGTTCTCCAACCGCTGCATCTCTTGTTTCTTCTGACATATTTTAGTTCGAACATCCTCTAGGATGTTAGAAAACTTTTCTATAGCGCATTCCCAACGATCCAAAGCTTGTTCCCAATGATCATCTATAGCAGATCTAACTTGCTTTGATCTAGCTTGGTCTTTGTAGATTTAACGTATCTGGATATAACTTGCTCTGATCTACCTTGCTCTCAGAATCTGACTTGCTCTAATACCAATTGATGTAAAAAAATAAAATCAGAAAAATAAAAATAAAAGGTTGAGAGAATATACCCTATCTCAAGGTATGCAAGTGAATTCACCCCAAGGTTGAGAAAATATACCCTCTCTCAAGATCTGCAAAGGAATCCACCCCAAAATAAGCTCGAGACCAAATTTTATTAACTTATCCACCCCTTTTTTTACAATAAAGGAAAATGTCCCCTTACATCGACTAAAAATTAATAAAGAATATAGACAATGGACTTTCCTATTTTATCTCTTCTTCCCTATTTTCTCTCTCTTAAAATCAAGTGCTAAATTTTCCCTATTTTCTTCTTTAACCATCATGTAGCAAAAAAGATAAGATTTTCCACATTTTATTCAAAGCCATGCTTATCACGTTTTTATCGAAAACATTCATAATAAAACTCCTCTTAGATTTAACTAACTCTCCTAATTTAACCTTATCTATTTACCTTTCTAAAGTAACTTAATTGATACAAGATACCCCTAAACTCTTACCCACCCTAATTACTCCTAATTATCCATGCGCACATCTTACCCATCTTAATTACCCCTAATTATCTCGGCTCACATCTCAAGATAAACAAAAGAATAATAAAAAATTAAAGTAACCATGATATTATTTGCGTCAAATTTTATCCCAAACCGCAACTGGTAGTCCGCCATTTGATAACAGCTTCCCCAAGTAGGTGATTGGGAAATTTTCTACCTTACACCCCAGTAGCTGTGCTATTGACCGCAACTCCTTATCACTGCAATTAAGCCAACAACACCTGTTTTCTCGAAATTTACCTTTAAGCTTAAGGCAACTTGGCAACATTTCAGCAACGTAGCAATATTGGTAACTTGAGAAATCTGAGCTTCACAAATCAACAAAGTATCATCAGCATATTGTAAATGGGAAATACAAAGTCACCCATTAGGCATTTGAAAACCCAAGAAGTGCCAATTTCTCGCCACATTTGACAACATCAAGTTAAAACACTCTGCATAAATAGTGAAAAAGAAAGGAGAAAGGGGGTCCCCTTGATGAAGACCCCTTGTAGCCTTAAAAAACCCAATGAAACTTCCTTTGTATAAAATAGAAAAGTGAGTTGAAGATAAGCAACCAAAGATCTAACGTCTCCATTTATCATTGAAACCCATATTTTTCATAATTTCTAACAAAATTTTCCACTCCACCCTATCATAAGCCATTTCCATATCAAGTTTAATAACCACTCCAGGACTCCCACCAAGGATATGAGAATGGATACACATTTGTACAATCATAACACTATCAGAAATCAGCCTATTTTTAATGAAAGCAGATTGAGGACCAGAAATAATAAAAGGTAATACCTCATTTAGTCGCTCTGTCGGGACCTTAGCCACAATTTTATAGAGATTCGTAAGCAAGCTAATCGGCCTAATGTTCCCGAAGGTAGCTATCACGAACTTTTTAGGAATCAAGGCAATGAGTGTAGAGTTCACTCCTCTAAAAAGATGTCCTCTCCTTAAGAAGCCCCTAGTCATCTCCAAAATAGCTCACAACTAATCAAGTTCCAGAACTTATAGAAAAAGATTAATTGCAAGCCATCTGGATCAGGTGCCTTATTACCCGGAGAGCAAATACAACCTTTTTCAATTTATCCATAGAGACATCTCTATCCAATATAGGAATGAGATTAGCCAGAAGAACTTTAAAACCCACATTTAACTTCAGAAGTAAAAGCACACTGGAAGTTGTTGATAATAGCTTGGGCCATACCATCACTATCATCAACATCAATTCTCTGGATAACAAGATTCAAAACATCATTTTGGCGTCTCATTGCATTAGCAATTGCATAGAAAAATTTTGTATTCAAATATCTCTCCTTCAGCCACTTCACCCTCGACCTACGTTTCCAGTAGACCTTCTAGTTGATTATCTTGATTTCAAGATATCGGGATATAGAAAAAGAAATATTTCAAGTCTCAAAAATAATATATCTTGTAAGGTATTATTTGGACTGTCATTTTTTAAGATTTTCATATGTTTATCAATATGCTTGATAAAAATCATTTTTGAAGTTATGAAAATCTATTTATACTCGCAATTATGAAATTTAAAGCTCAAAAAATAATGTAGATCGAGCAGATATATAAATACTTGAAAATATTGAAAACGGATGGTCTGAATTACAAGATACAATACTTTTAGGATTTCAAATTCTTTTTTTTTTCTTTACATACCCATAGATCTCAATGTTGAGATGATCAATTAGAGTGTTTTATAGCATCAAGATGGCCTTTTTTCGACGAGTTTTTGTGCACCATAGGTTTTGGGCTGCCAATTTTTTTGGGATGAACCTCCCAAAAAAAAAAAAAAGAAGAAAAAGAGAGAGAGAGAGGGGGAAAAAAAACACTTTTTTGGAGCTGAAAAATTTGCCTTGTTATTGGGTCCAAGTTTTGGGTAATCGGATGTAAATGTTTAGGAATTTAAAATCCAGAATTTCAATTTTGAATGCGAATATTCATATAGAGTGCATTCCAAAATTTGGAAAGGAAAGACCCACCTAAGAAGGCCTCTTTAACCGTGGGATTACGTGTATGGTATGCTCTCGGGGGTTCACTCGCTTTGATGAAAGCTTACCCAGAAAGAAAAAGAACAGAAAATAGTGCTCAAATATATTGGATAAGTGCCCCATCACACCAAACATGCAAGTCAAAACTTGCACATCAAGCACATAAGAACTCTCACACCAAAAGCTCACAGGAAACGACTAAAATGGACACAACCAAACTTTTAATTTGTAAACATAGAAAGAAACTTATTGCCTACATGCTAAGAGGAGCATAAATATATTTTTAATGAATATAATTAATTAAATATAATTAAATTTAATATTAATAAAAATAAGTAAGTGAGATTAGTAAATGGGATTTCGTTCGATGAATCTTGAACGAGACTGTGCCTGCAACGAAACAATATATGTGGTCCATCATCATATTGCCTCACTTAACCTTAGTTTTCTATCATAGACTATTTTTTCAATCTCCTAACTTAGAATCAGTCAAGTCCTAGTAGATCATCATAGCTGTTTTATTGTCCTCAAACTAAAAACCATAAATATGGCGATTGTAAATTAGCCTTCCAACGTAAATGTCCATTTGCAAAATGCCATGATCAATAGCCATACAGATGTATTTGAAAACTAGGCAGGAGACGGAGTTTGGTTAATTAATGTTTTAAAACCCGATAATTTTAAGTTTGGGTCACTGATCTGGATGTGGAATCGGTTGGGACCGAACTAGCTCTTGAATTATACGGGTCCCGACCTGGTTTTCCTTTAAAACCCCTGTTTTTATTTTTTTATTTAGTTTTCTTTATGCTTATCTATTGTTTGCATTGGTCCCTTAAATTTCCACCCCATAATCTCTATTTCGATTTTTTTCTTTGAGTCACTGATTCTGAGGATTAAAAAACGATCCATATCGCCTATCCAGCCGATCTGGGCTGGGATTGGGGGTGGATGATTCGCCATACGGATCAGTTTTTTTAAACATAGTGGTTAACTCAATTGGAACTAGGCGCTTCCCTATTCTAACTGGTGCATGATGCAAAAGAAATGGAAAAATAAAAAAAAATGACAAATGGGGGAATTGGGTAATTCCAGGTTTCTTACAAATCCAATCAATTTTGACTAAATACCAAAATATTGCAGAAAATTTGGTATTCCAGCTTGGTATTTGCCATAAGATCTAGTGCACCTTGCACTGCTCCTACTGGTCGGATCATCGGTGACTCTCAACGCTTCTCCTCAGTGCTGGCCGCTGCTATAGACACCGATTTATCCTTTGAACTTTGAAAAATTCAAAACCTTTGCAAAAGCATTCACAGTTTGGTCTCCTGTTACGCAGGTAAAAGATCGACATATCCACTTTACATCTATTCTTAAATAATTTGGTGATGCACTTCAATGTGTTTCGTCCTGTCCTTGCATGAAACATTCACTCTCTACAATGCAAGTTATATGGTGCTCTCATTACCACAATATCATAGTTTGTATCTTGCTTAAATCGCGAAGTTGCATTAGCTACAACACTCCTGAGCTGCCATAGATATCATACGGTACTTCGCTTTTGGTAGATGAGGACATCTTCAATTGCTTTCTAATGGAGCTGGACCAAGAGATTGCTCCCAACCCTAAGCTGGATACATACCATACAACCAATCTGCACCAAGAGATTGCTCCCAACCCTAAGCTAGATGCATACCGTACAACCGATCTGCAAGTTGTCAAGTCACTTGTACATAGTTATCAAGATTGGACGTCCCACTTGGTCCGACGTATCGTCTGTGACAAGTGCCTTTGTCAGTCTTGTCTAGAGCTAAAACTTTGATTTTGCAAAAATCAATCAAAGTTAGTGTATGCCAAGTTTTAGATGATCAGACTGTCCGTTTAACTAGTTCTATTGGCCAGCAAAGGCCAGCAAAGTTGAGAAATTTTTGATAATATATTTTACATTGTAAATTATTATTATTTATATTTATTTTTAAATGTGGTCCAATCAATTCGAGTGATGGTCGAAACAGTTTTAATTGAACCAAACTCCTCATTAATTCCCTGGTCGGTCTGATCTAGATAACTATACACCCCCGTAATTTGAATCTCATAAGCCAATTATTCACATGTGGACCTCACTCATAGAGAATCCCATAGTTAGGTGTACCCTTTACTTAATGCAAAATAGACCGATTGGCTTTCAAATGAGGCGTCCGCGCTCTATTCATTATTATGCTAATGACTCGCAATGCACGAACAATATCTCATCATGAAAAAGTATAATTTAGACTTCAAATGAGCATTGAGATAACTTTGCAGTTTGCCATCCCGAACTTATGTAACAAGTCTATTATTGTATACGTCTTTTGACACAAGGATAGACCCTTCTCAAATTGATTTGCTTTCAAGTCGAGAAAGTGATTGAAATCCCTTGACTCCTTCATGTTGAAACTTAGGAAAAGGTTATCATGGATTTGCTTCATCTTTATCACCAGTGATGATCATATTATCCACATGGACTAGCATAATCGCTAGCTTTCTTATTTGTTATTTTACAAATAATCTCGTATATTCAGATGCCACGGTACTCACTTAATATCAGGAGTTCAATGATTATCACTCAAAACCAATGATTTTTAATGAGGCCTTTTGTACTATTTATAATGTTTTTGGTACAAAAAGGTAAAAAGCTACATCCGAAACCATCATATATGAAATCTGATAGAATGGGATTCACATAAACAGAATAAATTTTTTTCTTAGACTTTGAGATTAGTGAATGATAAACCCCCTACCATCTTATTCCACATCTCATAGTTTCGTTTACTTTACTTTTACTTTTTTATACCAAAGGCAAATAGTCTCATTTAATATTTAATCTTTATTCTTTTTACTCAAAAGATAAACTAGGACTCAATGCATAAGTGTGACAAAATAGTTACATTGTATTCATAGCATATTTGTAGTGCTGGTATTGTTAGGTGCCCCTTCCCAGAAGGGAGGGACCCCTATGAAATTTACAAACGGAGGTAAAGGACCCCATTGATATTAAGTATAAGTGGTTGGACCCTTATGCTATTACTTAAAACAAGGGTCATAACTGGAAAGTGTTAAGTTTACTAGTGATCTTCATAGCTTTTTTCCAACTATTTGAGGTTGGCTAAACCTAATACTAATCTAACATATAAATAGTCTTAGTTACAAGAATCCGAAAGGGAAAAATTTATGAGAAGCGCGAAAGAGTACCTTGAAGAGAGAAACACCAGATAGTAGCGCGCCTTTGGAGATAAAAACCTTAAGAGGGATCATAAAGCCACTTAGAGAGAGATATATGTAATCCAAGAAAAAGAAGAGCTTCTTGAAGTAAGTAACCCAAGAGAGATATATTACTTTGTGGAATGAGTTTATTCCATTAAATCCTCATAAACCTAATATTTTAATAGATTATTTGCCTTTCTCCCATGGACATAGGCTCAAAGGGTGAACCACATTAAATCTTACGTCTGATACTTTCATGTTAAAGCTTATTTCAGTTTTCTTCTCAGACACACATAAAAAGTGTTTAGTATTTCCACCTAAAGAGTAAAGCTCAATTGAGTCCATATTCTTGCAAGAGGCTTCGAATAGTGGAAGCTCAACAGGCAGAAACTATGGAATTTTGCATTGTCATTTTAACTATACGGAAGTTCAATAAAGATTTTCTACTTGTAAAAAATCTATTATATTAATTAGAATTTTATTAGTTATCTTCATTTGTTTTTTTTTCTTGGATTTTGGGGGTGGGTTTGTTTGGTTTATGTGGCCATTAAAAGCATTATGAGAGTTTGTATAAGCATTTTATATAATGAAACATAAACTCATAGGAAGTGTGGTTCTCTTGTGGATAATACTAGACAAATGTTATTTGCCGATATTTGGACTAAGTTCGACGTGCTAGGCCCGTCAAGTTGGAAAACCTAAGGTACCGGGACATAGAGTTAAAATCGAGGAGGGTTCAATGGGTCAGCCCTCGATGAGGTCCGTGTTTGCCTGGATGAGTGAGCTGAGGGACTGTGTAGCCCTTGTGTGTGGTTGGCCTTTAGAGACATGACTAAAACCTCATCATAGTACCATCACGCCATATGTACATAGATAGTCGTATCGAGATAGCAATCCATTATTGAAGGTGAAGTGTGTACATGTACGAGAGATTACCCTATGCACCATAAAGTCGTGGTTGCATCATGGTTTGAGGGACCATGGATAGGTCTCTTAGGGAGAACCTAAAATCCATATACTGAGAT